CTACCAAAGTATTTCCTATAACGCATTTTCACCGTTAAAAACGCCCTGCTTGGACTTGGCCTCTTAGACTTGACGTTTACTTTGTGCTCCTGCATGTCCCCAGGTAGCGACCGGCAAACGGAGACCCGGATGACTCAGTGAAGTGAGGTGCAAACGGGCTTCATGCGATGAAAGAAAGACTTGGATCTTTTCACGCTATTACTGAGAGGATACACAACTCGGATATAAAGGAAAATTACCCCCGAAAGCTTTCACTTTACCTTGTGCAAAATCGAGATGATGTCTTCGAGGGTAAGTCACAGCTTCCGCTCTGATTTATGATTCCGTCATGATATATTCATTATCTCTTGGCTGCCAAGCAATGCAATGTAAAGACTAACATGCGATAGAAGAGATCGGCTCCAGAGAGGGCCGCCCGCTCCAATTCGGCCTCCAACGCGAATCCAACAAGATCTTCTGACGAAAACAAAAGCGTCTCTGACACGACGGAGAAGAGACATCAGGAACAGAGTCCCAGAAGAATGTTCTACGTTCATTTTGGTTCAAACTTTCCCATCTGGCCATCAAGAACACCACCACCGCCATCTCAGCCACTTGAAAGCCCCCATTCCGAGGTCCGCGTTCTTCGAGACATTTTGTCCAAGAAAGAAGAGGAGCTGAAGGCATTGAGAGAGGCAAACGACGAGATTGAACGCAAACTAAAGTCATGCCGCGAGAACGATCATCGCACACAACAGTGCATCGAAAGTCTGAAAGAACGGCAGTTGGAGGAATCCAGTTCCTTGAGAGACGAAATCAAGGGTTACCAAATCAACATCAAAAAAATCATCGAGAAGCTTGAAGCAAAATGTGCAGAACAGACGGTGCAACTGAGTAAGGCGTACTCAAATGCTGTCTCCAGCTGGGCGCAGGACGTATCGCGAGACATGCCTGACGACGTCGTCAGAAGCACCATCAGCTCATTCTTTCAGGGCGACTTTTTCTCTTGGTGTGCCGACATGTGCGCTCCAGAAATAGACTGGAGCAAAGGCCACGACAAAATTCTGAACTTCTACAACCTTGTCAACCAAGCTCATCATTACCGCTCTGGGCCTGCCCACTTGCTGTTTGACCACGCGGCACCAGACGGTTGCAGCTCCCTGGTCCTTCTCCAAGCAGCCTTGGCCAAGTCACTTGTAGACACTTTCCTAAGAAATCCGTACTTTCTTGTGGATAATGGTACCGTTTTGCAGAACATTGAGAGCAGATTTGCCGAAAGTAAGCGCTGTCCTCGTACTCTTTGCGTCCGCCCCGAGACTTGTCTAATCATTACTCTCAGGATCCCTCAAAGAGTCGATCAGTTGGAGAATCAATACTGTCCGAAGCTTAGAGAAAACATTTGCATTCAATGCCGAGCAAGTTGATTTGCACCTGAACCAATTTCTAAGCACGTTTGGGTTTTTGGTTCAAGAATTGGACAAACATGCACGGGACGACTTGGCGGACCTGTTCAATCGCTTTTCGCAGATCGCATTGAAGCTATGGCAAACCCCCACGCAGATTCGCATCCTCGACATGGCAAACATGACGGATTTGTCATTTGATATGAGTCATTCCCATATCGAATGCGAGCCTGTTGTTGCGTCCGCGCTCGGAGAACGTCTGAATGGTCGCCCCATTGGCGTGGTCATCCGACCCTGCATCCTGTCCCAATCCATTTCTGATTCTGGTGAGCAAATTCCTCCTGTTGTTTGGTCCAAGGCGCTGGTGTGGGTATCTGGAGAAAAGGATCCATACGATATGGAATGAGACTAGGTAAATCTCGAGCGGTAACGCATGTCCGCCCAGCCATGCAGGTTGGCTGGATGCTCAGCAAAGCCGGATGCGTGGATATGAAGCGGAGTATGAAGGCTGTATTTTTCTGTACCAATCTCGAGGATCTTCGGTTTAGGATTTCATTTCCGTATCGCAAAGATAACAAAAAATAGACAACAGCTGAACAATCTTTGTCTCGCTTCTTCATTATCGCGTTCGAGCTTCCCTGGCCTGCACATGGGGGACAAAACAGACTACGCACAAAGTCACTTCACCCAGCAGCGTTCATCATGGAATTCCTTGGATATTTTTGTGACTCATTGGCGTACACTTAATTAGTGGCTCAATAACTTAGCCGCGCTTATTTTGGATTTCTTAGACCTTATTTCGGAGAATAAGCTGATCACTTCTGCGGCAAGTGTCGAGGCTCATCGGCGTATTTTGTTCCCCCGCACCACTGGTCGACACCACCAGATTGATACTGCGATAGATTAGTTCTCACAGTCTTTCAGATGCATACAAGTTCTTTTTAGCAAGTGGACTCTACATCACACTGTTAGTGCAGCAGTAGGACATAAATCGAACAGTTGTACCAGTAAATAACAGAGCTATGAGCCATCCGTACGGTGCTGCAGATTGCCAGCAGTAGGAGAAAAGCCGAACAGTTGTATGGGTAAATACCCAGCTATAAATCATAAATAGAAGGTACATTCATATCGTTACTCTGCATGTATATCGTTGGATGTATGCTCTACGCCGCTGGCGTACCCGCCCAATGTCCCGTTTCTTGAATCCTCTTCACCGCACGCTCCAGATCCCCCTTGCTGCGACGAAAACGACTCTGGCGCACACTCAGCGGCAGCAGCGGATACACCGTCGCCATGCCGTACATGACTGTCTGAAACATGAGCCTGCTCGCCGCCGTCGGCTCCAGATTATACTCCTTGGCCAGCCGCGGCGGCAGCACATTCGCCGTCACGAGCCGCGACAGCGGCAGCAGCGCCGCGAGCTCAAACGGCAGGTTCTCCGGCCACAGCAAATCCTGGCAGAGGCTGCGCGCCTCGTCTGTAATCTCCAGCGTCGCTATGTTATGGTCCCAGTACGCCCAAAACGCGTCCAGGCTCTCGGGCCACATCTCCGGCGGCATGCGCAGACTGGTGCCGTACACGGCCGACTGCCGAAACAGCGCCTCCTCCTTTTCCCGCGGCAGCTTCCCAAAAACGTGCTCGTGGATGACGACGAGCGAGACAAAGAGCGTCGCGGCGGTCCACTTGTGCAGCTCCGGGTCGTTGGCGTCGTAGCCCTCGCCGCGGACGGGCGCGTGGTACCGGTGGATGACGGAGAAGACGGCGTCCTTTTGCTCGGGGGTGCCAAAGACGGCCGCGTTGAGGAACCGCATCGTCGTCTGCAGGCGGTTCGCCACGCGCGTTTTAAAGTTGGAGCGCTTGTGGCTGCCGATGGCGAGGCCCGGGTGCGCCCACTGGCAGAGAATGGCAAACTGGCCGCCGAGCACAAAGATGTCGTCGACGAGAATCTCACGCAGTAGTGTCGGCTCTTCAATAGTGTCAAAGATGTGCGGCTTCTTGTATTTTGTTTGCGTAGCCGGGTCGGCGCCGCCGGCGGCAGGGCGGACGCGCACGGTGCTCTCGCAGGCCATGATGGTTGAAGAAGTTCAGAACAGTGCGTGACAAACGTGGGTAGCGTAAGATGAGAAACCTGGGGAAGTGGAAACTTGCTCTCATATATTAGTTTTCTCCCCAGATCCAGTTGAGGGGCATGATGCAACATAGCGCGGCATTGCCATGATTTGTCCGGTTATCAAGGGTTGCCGAGAGCATCCATCGCCAACGGCTTTCCGGGCTAATGATAGCCCCGCCTTCAACGGCGCCGGGGTGGTATATTTGGCCCTTTTGTGCCCTTGTGGCGTCTTGGCATGTGTCAGGCTCAAATGGGCAGAAAGTGGTCAGACGATCTCTTCAAAAGTGCGTGTGTGGTTGAACTAGTATACCAAAGCATATAGCCGAGATGAAAGCCTGTGCATGCCGAGAGGCATTTGCATCACCTCAAGTAGACACCTGCCCATGCCCGACTGCTTTTTCATCAACTGCCGAGCAAAGACTGCTCGCTCAAAATTCTTGATTGGCCAGCAGAGAAAATAACGGCACAATCTCTCGGTCGGCTGGGCAGCACCGGAGGACCGTCGTCGCCGCTAGACCCAGACTCCCTCGCTACGCTTCAGTACACACACGGACATGTGAAAATCTCGGCCGGGTTCGAATATTGCATTCTTTCTGATGGCACGATTATTACGCTGCTTGTTACGTACTGGGTATATGTCTCTCAAATGGGTTACATGCAATGCAAATGAAATTAGCCTGCCGTTTTCGTCATTCATCACTGGGTGTTTCCGCTCAAGCCAGCTCTGCCCGATTTGCAAACGTTCCGACAGCATTTGACTCTGCAAGCTCAACCGGTTGGCCATGTTGCTGTTCCATGGTCGTAGGCCCTGGCGTCGTGGCAGTGGGCGAAACTGGGTTAGGCGAACCGAGGGGGCTAGGTGACGAAGTCAGTCCAGGAGAAGGCTGACCCCAGCTCTGATGGCCTGATCGGTGCGGGTCGAAGGGACTTTGCGAAGGCTGTGGGTAAGGCTGGGGAGAGCCTTGGTAATGCTTGTATGCCGTGTTCGGGTCGTACACGGGGGACCCTGCCTGGGGATGGTATCCTAACGGCGAGCCCTGTCCAGGTAAAGGGCTTTGCTGGTATTGCTGAAACACGGGCTGCGAAGTGGCCGCTGTGGCAGAGCCGCTGTCGACAGATTTCTTCTTGCGGCTACGCATGAAGAAAAAGATGGCGGCTCCCAGAATAGCGGCGCCCCCGATGCCCCCGACTACACCACCAACAATGGCACCGGTATTGCTCTTTTTTTCGCCATCGTTGTTGTCAGTGCTGCTTTTTGCGCTAGTCTCCGACGTGAAACTTGTAGTTCGAGATGTACTCGAAGATGTACTCTTGGATGCGGACATCGAAGGAGACGTACTATCGGAGCTCGTTTTGTCGACTGGTTTCGTCGAGTATATAGTCTCACCAGTAGTCGTCGTCGCACAACCCCAGATTCCAAGTGATGTCGAGGAAATCAAAAGCGTATGAAGCACACAATTGGGTACAGAGCTATCGAAACTGAAAGCATTTGTCAACAATTTGCATATCAACCACACAGTGTTGACCGTGGATTTGGGCCACTTGCCAGCAGGCCATCTGAGGCTGTGTCTTTAGCTTGTCCGAAGCGCAGCTTCCTTTCAAGGAATCCGAGAATGGGTAGCATCCCGTAAATATGCTGCTGCAAGTGGTGCCACGATCGCAGCAGGCTGCGAACTTTGACTCGAATGCGCACGTAGCTGTAGATGTGTAACACAGCAACGGGTAGCCTAACTATTGTCAGGTTTTCTCTGCAGGGCAACATGTAGCAGACTCAGCGTACCATCCGAGTAGAAACCACAAGTATTTGACTCTCTTTCTAAGGCACCAGCGCGACCAACCAGACTCCGCGGGTCCGGAACAGGAGCGTCTGTGATTCTTGGAGAGATGCCGAGAAGATGATTCATAGCTACAGCAGCGCGCGTTGGCTCGATAGTCTGGGGGGACTTGGAAATGTAGGAGGCATCCACAGGGCGGACTGCGATAAGCACTGAGCTCAATGTAGCCCAACGCCATCGCATCTTGAAGTTGTTGGGAGATGTCGAACCTCCTAAATTGTGTGGACAGCGAGTCATGCAGGGGTTTATTTGAAGTGTCGGCACCCTTTTTGACTAATACTCTCGCGCTTCGCTGCTATTTTGCCTCAGATGCGCACACGAGAGATGGATCTGAGATCGATGAGAAGATGCGGGCGAGACCGTTGCTGTGCGAGATGACTAGTCAGGAAATCGAAACTGGCAAACAACTTGCACAAGACAGCGGGTACCTTGAGCAACTCGAATAATGAAGGCCAATCACGACGGTGAGACCTTTGCCCCGACAAGGGTCTGTGAAATGGGCAAGCCTCACAGCCTTATTTTCAATTCGTCGTGGGTGGAGTAGCTTTGGCAACCTGCAAGATTAGTATTCCGGGCATTCAAATGGCAGGTGAGGGATGAAGACACGAGTGAGAGATAACTAGCACTCGGCAAAAGTCCCTTGGTGAGCGTATTGGGATCATTCTTGACCCCTCTTGCTTGGCAAGTTGAACGGCGAGCCTGTCTGGAGCGGGACCAATCGTCTGTCTCACTTTCAAAGTCCAGCTTGTCTTTCCAACAGCAGCAAAAGGAGACTGCACGTAGTCACATGCTCATTTGCAGATTGTAAGTCGCTGCCAGCCTGACTGGCTCAAGCTGCACGAAACACAATTCCAACCCCGCCGTCACGTGGATACCGAGCGAAGGGTACAGAGTATGTTACCCAGCGAGTGGCAGATAATTGGCTTTTCTCCTGTAATCAATAGAGAGAGACTTGTCCATCAAGGTGTCCTGATGATAGTTAGAGCTGTTGTACCGTTACTTACAGCCGCATTATGAGGGGGCGCCAGGGAACCTCGACTCATTGGAGCAATGTGTATTTTAGCACACCCAATTACTGACGCGGAGAGTCAATTGGTAGTTACTTGTCGCCTGGACGGACTGGATTACAAGATCGATGGGGGCAGCGAAAAATATGAGCCTTTGTGACAATACTTGCGCGACCAAGATAGCGGTGGCGTCGAAAGACACAGGCTTTGGTCAGCGCGACAGGCCAACGATGGCGTTTTGGAGAATGAGTATCTGTTTACACTGCCACAGCTACGCATTCGGCATGGCATGCCACCAATGCTGCAGGAATCAAGCCGCATAGGATAATGCTGAAATGGGGCGAGCTGGCCAAGAAGCCGTTTTCTGGCCGGCAATCCAAATACGACCTATTCTCTTGGAAATAGTGGTCATCTTGTAATTAAGCCATTGGTAATAATATTGAAGTCTGCAGGCGGGCCACCGTCGCATGAAGACCAATTTGGTGCAAATGCGAGGCGGATCGCATGGTGAGGAGAGCTTTGGGGCGTGGGTGGCAGCACTGAGAGGTGAAAAGAGTTGCCGTCGTTCCATGTCAACATTCTGACTACCCAATGTGTCGACGGTGCAGGGTTACAGTGCATGAGTTTGGGACCGGTCTGCAGCGGCGTGGCTGGGCGAATCTGAGCTATTGCAATCTAGGTCGCTATCGATGCAGACGGGAGCGTGGCAACATGGTCCGCGCTGCAAAGATTGGGCCAGTCGCCGTGGGGTAAGGGTGAGATTTCGGGATTATTTTTGATTGATTCCAGCTGAAAGATTCTGCTGAAGGGAAACGCTCGCAAAGGTGATGCCATTCATGTGCATGAGTCGATAAAGATATGGCAAACGGATGCATGGGCAGAGTGGGAAACCGTATGGGAAGCTTGCAGATGAGGGAGCTCTGGAGACTTGCAGCCAATGATGTTCCAGCGCTACAATACCTAAGGACGCTACAGCGCTTTGCAGAGCAGAGACAATCAGGCACGAATACAGCGATTGGGTTGGTGATTTAGGTGCTGAGCATTATGTAATCAGACGTCCTTCCACTGCAGCACCTCGCCTTTTTTTCGAATATTGGTTGTCTGACAAAATACAAACAACGACACATCGCCATCTTCTTTTATTGAATCTTCAGCTCTCATGCAGTTCATCTATTCCATCAGCTTGGCTTGTCCAGAAGCTCAGCCCGCTTACTCCCCCACCAGATTCCGCATCAGACCCTTACATCACACCGTTGCAGCGCGTTCCTGACCGAGGCTTTTCGGTCCTTTACACCATTTGCCATGCATTTACATCACCAGCCAATATGCAACAGCTCTGCGTTCGTGCATTCTCGTATGGAGGAACATGCAGATGCCACAGTGGCAACATTACCGCACAGGCTTCCTTGGCTCAGCTCCAGAGTGGCATGTCGCCCGTATTTCGTCTGTGCTACTGGTCGCTGTCGCCTCCTTGATCGGCTGGTCGGCTGATTACATCCGCCTCGCCTCTTTCTTTGGGCTCTTCCTCATCAATATGCCTGCAGTCCCCTGCTCTCGCATTATCACCTTCCAGATCCGTTCTTCCGCTCTTTTCTCGTGGCTTTTACTTCTGTACATAAAGTCTTGATGTTCCTCGCTTTGTCCTCCAATTGTCTGCCCAACCAGTCCAAGCGCATCGCCCGTCGCTCGGCCGCTGTGACACGTCTTCTCCACGACAAAAAAACTTGCAACTTTTCCCGGGCGCCAATCTTCGCTTAGAATATTCTTCTTGCATATCTTGTACATAGTGCAAAATGACAAAGTCTGTGGCTTTAGCCGCGCTGGCTCTGTCCAGCTTGGCCATTGCCGACCCAACATGGCCCGCCTCAACCGACGAGCTCGAGGAGATCATGTACCAGCTTAGCTCCTTCAAAGCGCGCAAGTTTTCTGACACAATCTCCCCTTGCACCAACGAGGCGTCGGGTCCGGGCCGCCAGAATGCCGCCGAGTGGCTCCGCGTCGGCTTCCACGACATGTCCACTGCCAATGTTTATTTCAAGACCGGCGGCCTCGATGGCTCCCTTCAGTATGAGCTCGACGATGGCGAGAACACTGGCCCTGGACACAAGACAACCCTCGAGTTCATGTCCAAGTATGTCTCTCCCCATACTAGTCTTTCCGACCTGATTGCCGCCGGCGTTTACGCCTCGGTGCGCTCCTGCGGCGGACCCATCATTCCCGTCCGTGGTGGAAGAGTCGATGCCGAAGCAGCTGGCGATACTGGTGTTCCGCAGCCGCAAAACTCCGCTACCACGTTCAAGCAGCAGTTTGACCGCATGGGCTTTAACAATGTCGAAATGATCCAAGTCACAGCCTGCGGTCACACGCTTGGTGGTGTCCACAACACCGAGTTCCCGGAAATTATTCCCGACGCCAAGTCCAACAATGGGTTGGGTGGTTTAGATAAATCAGTCGCGGCCTTCGACAACAAGATTGTTACTGAATACCTCGACGGCACCACCGGCAATCCGCTCGTTGTCGGCCCCGCGGTCAATGTTCACAAAAACTCCGACTTCAAGGTCTTCAACTCAGACGGCAACAAAACCATGGAAGCTATGCGCGACAATGCCAAGTTCAACGAAGTCTGCAAGAATGTTCTGCAAAAGATGATTGAGGTTGTTCCTGCCGGTGTCAACCTGACCGAACCCATTATTCCCTACAAGGTCAAGCCCGTTGACCTGCAGCTCCTCCTCGCTGACGGTGGCGCCAATTTGCACTTTTCTGGCTACATCCGCATCAAGACCACTGGCCTGTCCAAAGACAGCATCAATGACCTTACCATAACGTACAAAAACCGCAATGGCGAATCACAATGCGGAAAAAGTGGCTGCGACATCAAGGCTACCATTCACGGCCTGGGCCAGGGCTTTGACGATACTTTTGGCTTCTTTCCCATTGACGCCAAAATTCCCGTCAAGACTGGTATCTCATCATTTACTGTTGTCATCAACTATGCCGACGGCACCAAGCAGACAGCAGACAACAATGGTAATGGCTACCTCATCCAGGACACCATTCTCTTCCAAAAGCCGCAGAGCTGCATTCTTGGCTCTACAGGCGCCACGACACTCGTCGCTGCCGTCCGTAACGATGCCATTTCCAAAGGCGCCAAAGCAACAATCCACTACAAGACGGCGCAAGAGGATAGCCCTGTTCACAAACTCAATTCTGCTACGCTTGACATGACAAGTGGGCAATGCATTGGCGAATACACCCTCTTCAAAGCTGAGCAGAAAATTGAGGGCGGCATGGCGTACCAGTCTTTTGTCGACTTGAGCAGCGGTGATGCATCTGTATCTTTCAATAGTGTCGCTGGTCTTGGTGGATCTTGCACTTCTTTCCAGAACCCAATGTCTTGCAACACTGTTCGCCACGAGCTGCGGGCCTTGAACAACGACGACGCCGTGCCCGCCTCGCCAGCTGCCTCTCCTAGCACGGGCAATGCCAACGCGACTCCCAATCCTGTCTTGTCTTCACACTCAGTGCTCGCGGACCCTACTAGTTCCGGTGGTCCTCTTGCGCCGCCGCCGGAGCCGGAGCCAACCGGCAATTCCACATCACCTGGCACTCCGAGCACCACGCCGCCTTCTACCGCCGCTCCTGCTCCTACACCTACTCACAAGACCGCACTTGGCGGTTACGTTTTGAAGGGTTGTTGGGAAGAGGGCAGTGGTAAGCGGGCCCTGCCAGATGCCTCTACAGCCAACGATACCATGACGCTCGAAATGTGCATGACCTTCTGCAAGAACTACAACTACTGGGGCACGGAGTACGGCCGCGAATGTAAGCCCCTTTTACAAAACCACTGCTGACGTCGGCTAACATACCTCAGGCTACTGTGGCAACTTGCTCTACAGCGGATCCAAGAGCGCACCGCTCGAGGAGTGCAACATGGCCTGTGGTGGCGACCCGACCGTGTACTGCGGCGCCGGCAACCGCCTGGAACTCTTCTCAACCACGGCCAGCGTAACCACGCCCACGGGCACGCTGAGGCACAAGGAGACGGTTGCGCCCTACACCATGGTCGGGTGCTGGGCCGAAGCCCCCACCAACCGCGCCCTCCTGAGCGGCAGCACATCGGGCCCAGACATGACCAACGAAAAGTGCGCCGACTATTGCAAGACGTACCGCTACTTTGGCACCGAATACGGCAGTGAGTGCTACTGCGGCAGCTTTGTCGGGACCGACACCGCGGCGGCCCCGCTTGCCGACTGTAACATGCCGTGCGCCGGCGACCAGTTCCAGTACTGCGGCGCCAGCAACCGCCTCGAGCTGTATATGAACCCGGCCATTCCCGGCGGCGTCCCGGAGCAGCCTCCCGCGGCGGGCGACTTTGCGCTCGTCGGCTGTCAGACCGAGGTCAACACAACGCGCGCGCTGGCCGGCACGTCCACGGCGGCGGACAAAATGACAAATCAGCTCTGCGCGACATTCTGCAAGGACTACGAGTACTTTGGCACCGAGTACGGCAGAGAATGCTATTGTGGCAACACACTCTCGACGTTGTCGGCGGTAGCGCCCAAGGGCGAGTGCGCCATGTTGTGTGGAGGTAGCAACGTAGAGTTCTGTGGTGGCTCGAACCGCTTGTCCGTGTACAAGAAGAAGCCGCCCGTGACGCCGCCTCCTCCCCCACCCCCTCCTCCTCCGCCGCCGCCGGCTCAGAGCAGCCCAGCACCGACAGGGGCCGGCACAGCATGAGTGCGTATATAAATGCTATGTAATGAAGCATAGAGTAGAACATCTAATCGAACAAATTTTCTTATGGAATCTAAACTAAATACGGGAATCAATTAATATTACTTTTTGGTACTGCTTCTGATTGTAGCTGGCTAAATAAAAGGTGCTGCTCGTAAACTGGCGGCTGTACTTGTACTTTGAATGCCCCCACGTCCAAACGCGTCGCGGGAAGCTTGCAACTCACATCAACCACGTCCCCACGACGGGCGCGCACGACATTATCGTGCAAAAGGACAAGACAAAAATGGCCGATACCATGGAAGACGACAGAGACGTAAGAGCACCGGTTTTACAACTACGCGAATAGCGCAGGAATAGATCCCAGTACACTGGTGGCTAACCTTGGTTGGATACAGCGCCTCAAGTCGGCACTCTGGTACGCCGTCGGGCAAATCGTCGACGAGGAGTGCATGCGCCGTAATCGTAACGCGACGCCTCAGTTCATCGGCGCTCTGACGGAGCTCGTCTGGACTCAAATCGGTACTTCTTTTCTTTTTTTTTTTTTCTCCTTCTTTTTTTGTTCCTCGCTTCGCTCGCCTTTGCCTGTCCTTCCCTTGCCCGCCACCATACCAAGTTGGTGCAGTGACTCGAAATCGCATCTTTTTAGAAGAGCGGAAGTTGTTTGAAGAAGTTTAAGATAGAGACATAGAGAGAGAGTAGGCTTGCTAATCGGACAATTTCACAGAAAACGTCGCTGTCGACCTCGAGTCCTTTGCCAACCACGCCTCCCGCAGCGTCGTCACCACAGACGACGTGCTGCTGCTGGCGCGCAAGAATCCGGACTTGCAGCAGCTCATGCAGGACTACATCAACGAGCGCAAGACGCAGCGTGGCGCCGCGACTGGAGCCGCGCGCAAGACGGTGACGACGACGGGAAGCGGCAGAGGAGGGCGAGGCGGCAGCCGCGGAGGGGCCAGGGGCGGCGCAACGAGGTTATCGGGCCGGTGAGGTCGCGTTCGTCTCGTCCCTTGTCACCTGTACTACGATCATGGCTTGAGCAATGTACTTTTTTTGAAACTCGAAAAAACTAGAAAAATAACAATGAAATAAAAAAAAGCAAAATAAACATGGATAATGTCTCGGAAACGGGCGGCGCAATCGCGGATGCTTATCAGGACGGCGGTGATAAGAGTTGAGTCATACAAGTACTGGTACAGGTTGCTGTATCAGCGGCCGCAGGCATGCTATCTATGTACGTACGTATCTCATGTTTTGCAACCAATACGATTTCCCATCTCCCGTGTCGTCCTGGGATACGAATCGGCTCGTGTCTGGGCACGTATCGTTACGGCGACAGACACAGGGCGCCAAAAGGAAGCATTTATCATCTGCGTCACACAGCTTTCGGCCCAAAACATACCTACCTGCTACCCAATGCCATCTCTTTTATTAGAACACGAGCCTACAAAGTACAGATAACAATTTGATGCTCCCGATATAGCCCTGTTGAATCTAAGCCTCCCCACCTGCACGGCCCCGACCGATAACACTCCCCCCCTTGTGATGATGACCCTCCTCATTGGCGTTTCCTATCTAGATAACAAAGGCATGTACAAATACAAGTTTAGTCTTACGGTGTACCGATATTTTAAGAATGGCTTACGCCTGTCGTCGACGACAGATACATAACCACCCATTCTAGATTCTTCTTGCTTTAGCAAGAGAACATCTGCATCGGTAATTTGTCTACAAGACATTTCTACGCGGGCGTCACTTTTATTAACTAAATAAAAGAAGAAAATTCCAAAGGAAAAAAAAAGTCATGCGAAGCCATGTTTCAGGCCCGCGAAAGTCTCGTTGCGGTCTGTCCTCCACCAGACCAGTCGTCGTTCTATGGGGGTATCTCTATGTCATAATTCGTAAAACAAATGGGTATCTTCCTCCAATCCTCCTTGTCGTGAAACGCTAAAAGATGCTTCTGAGGGATCCGGCCCCTGCAGATGAAATATGCTGAGTGAGTAATAAAAAAAAGCATGTGTCCCAGAAATGCTCGTAGTAGTTAAACCGCGACATTTGAATCCAAGACTCGGATAACGGTCTCTGTCCGCATTAATACCTAAGGTGCAAAAAGAAAAAACACATAGCAAAAACGCCTGCCAGTGAAATCATGTGTCTCGCAGACACAACAAAGATACGAAGAGACAAAAAGCAACAAATCTTTCTCTAGTTCTTCCCATTTCGGGGGAATTTGTGCTGTTGGCAAGCACGGGTTGTCGTCGAGTAAAGCGTAATGCCTCGCGGCTTCGATCATGGTCGTCGTAGATGATCTCTCGTCATTAGTGGAACTTGGTAAAAGCAAGTCGACTTGAGAGAATTTGGTCGAGAATATCGAGAAAGGGTGGTCGGGCCTCTTCGAAATTGGATATATTTCCGCTAGTGAGTGCGTTCCTCAAACTTTGATGGCGGACTGAGGGCCGTACTCCTGGACGTAGCGGTCGAGCAGCTGCAGAGAAACACCAGAGCCTCCACAGACGATGAGGACGACATTCTTCTGCGACCACTCAGCGTCGGAGAGACCCTTGCCGAGGGAAGCACGGAGGTCACCACGATAGGCAGCAGCGAGAGCGGCACCACAGGAAACCTCAACGAGAAGACGCACGTCGTCGGCGAAACGCACACAGGCCATGGCGGCGTCGGCGTCGGAGACGACCATGCTGTGGGTGTTTGGGTAGTGCGCCCACTTCCACGTCTGGGCGGAGACGCGGGAGCAGCCGAGGGAGACGGCAATGGAGGTGATTTCAGCAAGAGTAAGGTGCTCGTTGGCGGCGAGGGAGGCGTTGAGAGAGTCGGCACCGGCCGTCTCGACGCCGACGACGTGGGGCTTGTTGCCGGACCAGGGAAAGGTCTCGATGCCCTGCATGAGGCCGTTGAAGAGGCCGCCGCCGCCGACGGAGCAGACAATGGCGTCCATGGGCACGTCCATCTGATCGCGCAGCTCGGGGATGAGGCTGGCGGCGCCGTCCCAAATGTCCGGGTGGTCAAAGGGCGGGACGAAGACGCCGTCGGGGTCGTGGGCGACGAGCTCCTGCTTGACGTACTGCTCGGCGGCGAAGAGGTTCTTGCCGTACTGCTGAACGTGGGCGCCGAGGGCGACGAGCTTGTTGCGCATAAACTCTGACGTGGTGAGTGGCACAACGACGGTGCAAGGGCGGTTAAGGGCGACGGCGGACGTGGCGCAGGCGAGGCCAGCGTTGCCGCCAGAGGCGCAGTAAAAGTGCACGTTGCCGGGGTGATGGGCGACGGCGCGGGTCATGAGGTTGCCGATGCCGCGGGACTTGAAGGAGCCTGACGGCTGGAGGTTGTCGAGTTTGAGGTAAATGTTGCTGGTTTCCGTGTTAGTGGGTGTTTTATGTGTGAAGTCCGGTATTGAGAGACTCACCAGCCAACGGCACGGGAAACGGCAGTGCTATAGACGCAGGGCGTCTTGACCCAAGGAAGGGTGCTCTCACCACCGAGGGATCCCATGATGATTTTGGGGAGTGTGTGTGTGGATGGTTGTGTGGTTGATACGAGCGTTGAGGAGGGGGGCACGTATCAGTGTTGAAACTCGGTTGAAGAGTTGAGTGAGAAAAGACTAGAGGACCAGAACAGTCTTTCTTTCCAAGGGGTTGAAAATTGGATGACAGAAAGAGGGATTGAAAGAGTAAGAGGGAAAGAGAAGGAGGAAACTGGGGAAATGGAGAATAAGTAGGTCGACGAATGTTTGGGAGGTGGCCGTTTGTGTGGTGTGGTCAGAGAGTCGTGGGTGACCAATGCAAAAAAAAGTGTAAGAGGTGTGCGGTTATGAGCGCGGAAAACCGAGGTACTTTTCATATGGTAGATGTATTGAAAAAGTACTTGCCGGTACACGGCCAAGAGGATCCGTAGGAAGCCGATCCTGGGGGGCGTGTGGCTACGACGGCCTCGTTCTGGGGATTGTCATACTGGCCATTAAAGTGGCTACACGGGTGGAGAATGAAACAAGAAGCTGTGAAGAATAAAGTTGGTATTAGTATTATCATCCTCATCATCATTTATTTTCTTGGCTGGATCACTGCAGGTGCATGTGTTGACTGCCGACTGGCAGCTGGTGCAGCCAAACTCTGTCTGTGTTGATCTTGGGCAGAGGGTAGAGGCACATCAATGAACACATCTTGCGGCTGTCAACTGCGCGCTCTGGGAGATAACAGCTCTCGGGGAGCAGGGGCCAATTCAGTAAACCCTCACTACTTGTTGTTTTGGGTTAAGCCAGGGGCCTACACCTACATTCAAGGCTCAGTTCTAGCCTAGCAGAATTTTTCTTCTTTTCCTCATTTTTAGTGCTAAAATACAACTATGCCTTAATTCTTGCTTTCCTACCACCAGCAAGAAACGACACACCTCTTCGCGTGAATCCTTTTGTTGGGCGGTCTCAAGATGGAGAGCGCGGACCGAAGCTAGTCCATATTAGGTAGTAACTGTCAGCGCGGCGGCTGAAGAGCAAGATAACAATCAGTGATGCTTTGACAAGACACATTGATACATTATTACACACACAAAAGAAACCAGCCATCGCCGCGCATCGGAACACGGCGGCCGTGTGTGCTGCTCTCCGAAACCAATCTACACACGTCAACGGCCATCCGATAAATCAACAAGCAAACCGCAGTGTGCCACGAGAAAGCTTGTTACGCCTGGCCTCGCCTGGACTCGCACCGATCAGGTGACCGGCCAACGATGGACAGTCGCGCTCCCAACAACCAACCCTTCCCCCTCAATAATCCCCGGATAGTAATCGCGCTTGTACAGAGCGGTAAGATATGAGCCTTGTTCCATTCCACCGCCGACGAAACTGGTCTCGGGGGGGAACGGCATGGCGTGGCCTGCCATTGTCTTGTGATGCCGGGAAACGGAGAGTCTAGGAACCATTCAGCCATTCTCCCGCGCCTCACAGGCCTGTGAACGGCTGCTGATATATAGCTCGCTGGGCATGTCTCGCTCGCATCTCACATCAACACATGCCAATCCGTCAGATGGTGTCGACATGCATTTTTCCAATGGCACACCCAATCTGTGATGTGCCCATCGACGTTTGGCCTGTCCGTCTACTCCGCGCTCACGACTCCCCCACCTACCCCAGACGCTGTAGCAAGCAGCAGATCTGGAATTATTGGCGTCCAAAGAAAAAAAAATTAATAACGCGATTTTTTTCCTTATTATCCCTTGCCTGGTTCCGCATGCTAGACCCGGCGCTGGTGGAGCACACACCCGTTGGCCCCGTCGATTTTGGTTACGTATTACGTTGTCATAGGGTAACAGCATTGACAAGTCTGATCCACAACGAGACTTTGTGTTTGACGGCACGTATTATCAGGGCCTGGTCAAGTTTACTTGTTGCTTTCTCGCAAGCAAAAAACATTGGTGCGGACGTGCTTGGTTGGCTGGAGTCAAGCTTTGCGCCGTGTGCCGTCTAGTCAAGACCAGTGCCTGCGTGCATGTCGCCTCGCTGCAGCTTCTGGTTGGCTGCAGACGAGTAGAAGCATGTTGTGTCATTTTCGACATGGTAAACTCAGCTTGCATCATAGCCAGGCAGCCATTGTGCCGAGCTTGGTTGATCGCGCCCAATCGGCCGGCTGCGACGCCATCTTTCTGTCCCTCGATGGGCCCGGGCAACCTGGTTACAGCGAAAATCAGAGCGCAGGGTTAGCAGGGTTGAATTCGGACAAAACTCGGCATTCTTTTATTTCTTCTCTTAGCCATTTTGTGCCTGATAATAATTCTTCCGCATTCTTCTTAGCAATGCTTTCTGGCAAGGCTTTCCAAACGAATCCATAGGACCGGCGCCCCGCTGGGCCAATGGGCGTCTCCAACCCCGGATGGGGCCGGCTGCTTCTCGCCTGTGAGTGCTCCGGGGTAGCAGTAAACCTCAAGCCCAGAGGGGTCAGAGGCCAAGTCTAGGTGGTGCATTTCTGTTCGAAGGCGGTGAGGATGCGTTGTAGATGCGCTGCAAGTCCTCTACAGATAGTACAGAGCCAGTTGACCAGCAGCCAATTAATCAACAGCCAGTCCAAATATCAGTAGCCAGTCAATCAATAGCTACTCTATTAACAGCTAGTGAGCTGATTAACAGCTGTTAACTAGCTGTTGATTGACTGGCTGTTGATTGACTGGCTGTTGATTGACTGGCTGTTGATTGACTGGCTGTTGATTGACTGGCTGTTGATTAACTGGCTGGCTATTAATAACCTGGCTGTTGATTGACTAGCTGTTGATTAACTGGCTGTTGATTAACTGGCTGGCGATTAACTACCTAGCTATTAATTGACTGGCCGTTGATTAACTGGCTGTTGATTGACTGGCTGGCTATTAATTGACTGGCTGTTGATTGACTGGTTGG